ATGATTTGGTGGGAAGGAACCTTAAAGCTCATCCCAGGTTCCTCCAAACCCCATCCAACCCCACCTTGGGCACTTCCAGGGATGGGATAACCCCAAATTTCCTGTTGATATTTTGGGATCTGCTGTAGGTGAAGCAGTTCCAGGCAGGAATGTGCAGGCACAGAGGCAGATGTTCCCAAATTCAGCCCAAATTTTGGAATTTGCAGGCTCAGAAGCACCAACTCCCAAATTTTAGAATGTGCAAGCACAGAGGCAGCAGCTCCCAAATTCAACTAAAGTTTTGGAATTTGCAGGCTCAGGGCACCAGGTCCCAGATTTTGGCTGAGGAATGTGCAGGCGCAGGGCACCTGCTCCCAAATTCATCCCAAATTTTGGAATTTGCAGGCTCAGAGGCAGCAGCTCCCAAATTTCACTGAAATTTTGGCTCAGGAATGTGCAGGCATGGAGCACCAGCTCCCAAATTCAGCCCAAATTTTGGAATGTGCAGGCATAGAGGCAGCAACTAAATTTTGGCTCAGAGTGTGCAGGCATCAGGTACCAGCTCCCAAATTCAACCCAAATTTTGGAATGTGCAGGCTCAAGGGCACCAGCTCCCAAATTCTGGCTCAGGAATGTGCAGGCACCGAGTACTAGCTCCCAAATTTTGGAATTTGCAGGGACAGAGGCACCAGCTCCCAAATTCAGCCTAAATTTTGGAATGTGCAGGCTCAGTGCACCAGCTCCCAAATTCCACCAAAATTTTGTCTCAGGAATGTGCAGGTACGGAGCACCAGCTCTCAAATTTTAGAATGTGCAGGCACAGAGGCAGCAGCTCCCAAGTTTTGGAATGTGCAGGCTCAGGGCACCAGCTCCCAAATTCATCCCAAATTTTGCAATTTGCAGCCCCCGAATTCCCTCTGGGATCAGCCTGGCAGTGCAGGGAAGCAGCAGCGCCTCCCTGCTGGGTCACCCAGCCCCGCTGCTCTCGGTGCCAGGGGATAACCTGGGTGCCAATTATGAATATTTTATGAATATTATTTTATGAATATTATAAAAATTATGACTATTTTAATTACAGCCTGATGATAATGAGCAGAAAAGCAGAGTTTTTCAATCAAAGCTGAGCCCTGTGGGACACTCAGCCCCCTCTGAGGGGAGGGTTGGTGCTCACATGGGATTTTCCAGGGGGGAAAATGGTGCTCAGGAAGAACCAGGAAATAAAAATCCACGTTAAATCCCAAATATCCTTGGCCCAAACCATATTGAATATTTTCCCTCAGAGGCTTCAGTTCCTCACGTGCTGATCCCACCCCAAATTGGGGAAAACCGGGGAAAGTTTTGCACTGATAATTCACCAAAAAAAAAGAGGGGAAAAAGGACAAAAATCCAGGAATTATTTATCCATCTCTGCCAGATATTTTATTTTTTAAAAATTAAATTTTTATTTTTTTGGGTGGGGAATTTGGGCTGCACCGGTTGTGCCACCTTCCTCCTCCTCCTGGTTTCCTGGGAACGGATTATTTAGGAACTGTTGAGGCCACCGGTGCTGAGTCAGCCCCGAGCTAATGAACACCCCGGCTGCCCATTTGAAATTTATTGCACCTATTAATTACAACCATTAGCTGCAGCCGCTGAAATTTTTATAATGAGGGCCCTGGCGAGTTCGCCTCGCCAGCAGCAAATTAAACCGTGTGGGGGGAAAGAATCAATGGCATCAGCAGACTTTGCAGGAGCGATGTTTTAATTAGCGATTCTCTGCAAACATGCCAGGCAACATCTTCTCCCTTCATGATCTCCCCTTAAAGGGATGGAGCTGCTTTTCAGGTCGGGTTTTATCCCCTCCTCTCTTGTCGGGTTTTTAAGGCTGCTCATTAGAGAAGCGGCTTTGAAGTGGGGTTTGGCTCAGGGTTGGTTGGAAGCGGGGAAAATCTGAGTTTTTTGGAGTTTTTTATATTTTTTGGGGGGGGGAAAGAAATAAAAAGCCAGGGTAGGAAATAATGGGGTTGAAAAGTTGGCTGGAAAAATGTTGAATTGGGTGGATATTGGGGCTGGGAGGAGGAAGAGGAGGATGAGGAGTGTGGGAAAGGGGTTGTGTCCACACAGGTCGTGTCCGCATAGAAATGAGGAATTTTATTTTAAAAATTATTTATTTATTTATATATAAATTCTATATTTTATTTATATATATGTATAAATAAAATATATATATTTAGAGATATAATTTTTATATATGTATATATACACATACATATATGTATGTATATATTATATATAATATATAGTGTATATATTATATATTATATAATAATATATAATGTATAATATATATTTTTATATATATAAATTTTATATATATATGTATGTGTATATATATATACACACATATATATACATATATACATGCATATATATACATATATATACCTATATACATATATAATACATACATACATACATACATACATATATATATATATATATATATATAATTTATCAGAGAAAATAAATATAAATGTCCCGACACAGAGTTCTGACAGGCAGGAGCTGAACTTTGGGTACTTAAAAATTAAAGGAACAAAAAAAATCCCAAAACCTCCAAAACTCCATGGATGGAGCATCCCCATCACCCAGAAATGCCCAGGATTTAGCAGTGAAGGCTGAATGTTCAATATTCAATATATTCTATAATCAAAATATTCAAGATTCAATATATTCAATTGGGTATTGGATTGGTAAATTCAATACCCAATGGAATATATTGGGTATATTCAATCAATTCAGCTTTGATTGAAAAACTGGATGGAGCAGTTATGACAAAAAGCAAATGAAATTATTATTTTTTAATCTTTTTTCTCTGTTTCATCACAAATAATTTAATTCCATTCCGTAATTAAAACACAACTCAGATTTCCATTACAAACAATCTCCTTCCGTAAGAGAAGAGCCAAAAGGCAGCTCTGAAATCGAGGAGTTCAAACGCAAAACTTGCTGTTTTTTCCAACAGATTCCCTAAAAAGTGAATGTTTTAAAGAAAGTATCTCCGAGAAATAGGAAAGCTAAGGGAGAAAAACCAGCTAGAATGAAAGGTGCTGGTACCTGGCTCCCAGAAATAGGAAAGCTGAGGGAGAGAAACCTCTGAAATCCAGGGATTCGAATGCAAAACTTGCTGGTTTTTTCCAACAGATTCCCTAAAAAGTGAATTTTTTAAAGAAAGTATCTCCAAGAAATAGGAAAACTAAGGGAGAAAAATCAAATGGAATGGAAGGTGCTGGTACCTGAGCATCCCACCAGGGGCCGGTGTCACCTGCGAGTGTCACCTGAACCCGGCCACCCCTGCGCCCTTCCCTCCTGGTGCCAGCAGCTCCCGATGCCCGGCAACCCCAGAAAAAATGGGAATTTTCTTGAGGGGCAGACTGGCTCCAGCTGCTCACAAAGACATTTTTCCTGGCTCAGGGAAAAGTGACATTTTTTGATGGCAGCCAGCTCCCAATTCATCACCGCGACAGTGACAAACACGGCCCGGGGTGACGCACTTGGCTGTAAGAGAATTCTCCGGCTTTACATTTTTAATGCTCCGCTCGTTTTCTCCCGGTTTTATCCCCGGGATCCTCTGCCTTGAATGGAAAGGGCAGCGCGGGGCTGGCTCCTGTCAGCGCTCCCCAAACCAGCTCGTTGCGTTTTTATTTTTCATTATTCCTGCTCCTCCACCGTCTCTTTTTTGCACCTTTTCAAGGGGAACAGCCTCAGCTGGGCCGCTCCATTCTCCGCGGCTCATTCATCATTGTCCCCCGCCTGAATGCGAGGCACAGGGTCAGCCTGAAAAGCTCCAAACCCCTCTGAAAACATCTCAAAAGGGCCCTGGGGGGACCCCCCAGGCTCTCGGGGGGGTTTTGTGTCTGTAAAAGGAGCTGGAGGGGGGACACGGGGACGTGGGGTGGCACAGGGGACCTGCCTGGGAGGTCTGGGCTGCTCGGGGGATTATGGGCAGCGTGGTTTATTTTGGTTATTGAACAGCTCCGGAGCGCGGAGAGGATGGGGCAGAGATGGGTGGGCAGGGATGGAGCGGCCCCCGCAGTGTCCCTGTCCCTGTCCCCTCCTGACCCCCCTTGTCCCCCTCTGTCCCCCTCTGTCCTCTCTTGTCCCCTCCCGTCTCTTGGCACAAAATTTTTTCCTTCCTGGTAACAGGAGGGTGGAAGATTCTTCCTTGCAGATGCTCTGTAAGATTAGCCGGGGCTTTCTGGGCCTTTTTCTCAGATAAATTACAAATGTGTGTATATATATAAATATATGTGTGTATATATATATATGTATATGTATATATATATATGTGTGTGTATATATATATGTATGTATATATGTATTTGTATATATATGTATATACAATTATATATATAATTATATTTTATATATATATAAATATATATATATTTATATATATAAAATATAATTTTATATATAAAAATATATATATTTTATATATAAATATATATATAAATATATATATATTTTTATATATATATATTTATATATATAAAAAATTTATATATATATATAAATGTACACATAAATTTTTTATATAATATACATTATATATTATATATGTATAACAATAATTATATTTTATAGATACATTTTATTTACATATTTATTTATTTATTATATGTATTACATAGAAATAAATTATATAGAATATATAAGTATATATTTTATATATGTAAAAATATATACTTATATTTACATATTATATATATACACTTATGTTTATACATACGTATATTTATATATGCTTGTATTTTTATATAAAATATTTATATTTATGTATTTATCTAAGAAAACAATTTTCCTCTTCATTTTATATATATATATAAGGAAGGAAGGAAGGAAGGAAGGAAGGAAGGATGGATATGTTGTGTTGTGTAGTGTCCCAGCCCAAGGTGATGCCCCAGTTTGGGATTTTGGGGCTGTGCACCCCCAGTTGCTGCCCTCCCTTCTCTCCCTGTCCCCTCCAGGTCACCGGATTCTCCAGCTGCCGGTGATGCCCCAGTTCACCTTCGCCTGTTTCTGTGGCCTCCACGGCTTCTGCAAGATGAAGAGGAAGAAGGAGGAGGCTGGCGGGGGGCAGGAGACGGCCGTGTGAGGGGCGGGACCCCTCCTGTCCCCCCGGTACGCCGGGACCACCGGGGGACATCGGGTGTCTCCTTGTCAGCCCTGCGAGGAGCAGCTCCCCGTGGGGTCAGCTCTGCCTGCCCTGTCTGTGGGGTTTTGGGGGGCTCAGGGGCTGAAATAAAGGGTGTGGGGTGGTGGTGGCAGGGGAAGGGAGCTGGGTGATCAGGGGCTGGGGGAGTATGGGAGGGCTGCGTGATCTGCTCGGTGATCTTTCAGATTCTCCATTTACCCCACAGATTCTGCATTTATCCCATAGATCCTCCCATTTATCCCACAGATCCTCCACTGATCCCACAGATTCCACATTGATCCCACAGATCCTTCAATTTATCCTAGAGATTCTCCATTTATCCCGCAGAATCTCCCATTCACCCCACAGATTCTCCCATTTATGCCATAGATTCTCCATTTACCCCATTTATTCCATAGATTCTGCATTTATCCTGTAGATTCTCCATTCATCCCACAGATTCTCCCATTTATCCCCCGTGTTCTCCCATTCATCCCACATATTCTCCATTTATCTCACAGATCTTCCCATTTATCCCTCAGATTCTCCATTTGTCCCGCAGATTCTCCATGGATCCCACAGATCCTCCCATTCATCCCTCATGTTTTCCCATTTGTCCCGCAGATTCTCCATTTATCCTGTAGATTCTCCATTTTTGTCCCATATTTTCTCATTTATCCCACAAATTCTCCATTTATCCCACATATTCTCCATTTATCCCATAGATTCCCCATTTATCCCACAGATTCTCCATTTATTTATTCCATAGATTCTCCATTTGTCCCACAGATTCTCCTTTTATCCGATAGATTCTCCTTTTATCCCGAAGATTCTCAATTTCTGTCCCATATTCTCTCGTTTATCCCACAGATTCCCCATTGGTCCCACAGATTCTCCCATTTATCCCCCATATTCTCCTTTTTCCCCACAGATTCCCCATTTACCCCACACATTCTCCATTTATTCCCCAGATTCCCCATTTATCCCACAGATTGTCCATTCACCCCATAGATCATCCATTTATCCCATAGATTCTGCATTTATCCCACACATCCTCCATTTATCTTGTAGATTTTCCATTTATCCCACAGATTCTCCATTCACCCACACATTCTCCATTTATCCCATATATTCTGCATTTATCCCCCATATTCTCCCATTTACGCCCCAGATTTCCATTTATACCCCAGATTCCCCATTTATCCCACAGATTCTCCATTTATCCCCCAGATTTCCCATTTATGCCCCAGTTTCTCTCTCTATTTCCTCTCCCCAGGCTTCCCGGGGCAGAGCTGGATCCCGCCCTGTCCTCGCTGGGGATGTCACCAAGATGTCACCAAGGTGCCATTGCCACCCTGCCAGGACCACAAATTCCTGCAAATCCCAGTGCCACGGATTCCTGGTGTTCATGGAAGGAGCCTCCACCTCATTGAGAAAGCAGAAAAATGAATTTTTTTTCCCAGCAGCAATAATCCTTTTTTAACCCCAACATATCAAGGAAAGGATCCAGCTTCCCTCAGAGCTGCCCTCCTCGCATTCCCATTGGGAATTTGGGCAATTCCTGCCCATCCTTGGTGGCAGCCAAGAGATAAAAATCCCCAAAAAACCAGCAAAAACCAAAAAACCCCAAAACTAAATCCCCTTTTTTAATATTTCTCTCCTGGACAAAACTCTCCCTTCCGCAGGGAGGATTTTCTTCCAGCTATTCCCAGTCTTCCTATAGGCCGAAATAATCGGTGGCTGCCCCAAAAATTTGGTGTTTTTCCGAATGTTCTGCCAAGGACAAAGCTCCAGGTGTGCCCAGGACATCTCCAGTTGCTTCTGGGAAATGCTGATTTTGTCCTGTTCCTATTTTTGCACATCAGCAGAGCCCGTTCCACCTTTCGTCCCCAGCGCTGCCCTTGGGGAGGACGTTTGGGCCAAAAAAACCCCAAAATCCAAGGAAGTTGGTGGAACTCCAAGGGCATTTCCTGAATGTAATTTTATTTTTATGCACAAGGATTTGTGGTGGTCACAAAGGGATGTGTTTAAGGATTTTAACATGTTGGGATTAATCCCTGCTGTGCAGTTGATATGGAGTGTAAAGATAAAGGTGGAATTTCAGCTTTGTTTATTCCAGGATAAATCCACAGGGACACAGATATGAAGGAAAATATTAATATAGAGAAACCAGCTTGGACCTGACGCCCATCCCTCAGATTTCTCCTGTTTCTCCCAGGTTTTTCCTATGCAAAAACCACACAAAAAACCAGCAAGAACAAAGCCAGCTCAGCAGCAGGTCCTGACTCAACAAAGCCCTGCTTAAACCTCAGGCTTTGCCTCGGGGTTTTGCTCCACCCCATCGATTTTCCTGATTCCAGTCTGGATCGATCCCTGGAAAGGAGGGGAAGGCTCAGAACCCTCCTTGAAGCCTTTCTGACCTGGATCAAAGCATTAATTCTGTTTTTATTGTAATTTTTAAATCCCTGCTGCCCGGATTACTTTGGGAAAGGACTCCCAGGATGATCCTGAGGAGTCTCCCAGCCCAGGAGCCATAAATCTTGTACTGTACATTTATTTTTGGGGGGTATTTATTTTTATTTTTTTATTATTTTTTATTATTTTTATTATTCTTTATTATTTTTTATTTTATTTATGGGGGGGGAAAAATAAATGGGGCATTTGTAAATAAGCACAGTCATCTTCCACGCACAGAGCAGAGTGCTTCCTATAGGAATTCCTATGCTACAAGAATAAATAAATTAATAAATTAATACGTTAATAAATAATTTTAAGAATAAATAAAATATTTATGGTAATTTTTGGAGTGTGGGTTTTATGGTTATTTGAAGCTGAGGGGTTTTGCTCCCTCTTTTTTCTTGGCTGGTCCTTCAAAACCAACCCCAAAATTCACATTTAAAAAAGGCCTGAATTGCAAATTGTGGATATTTGGGAGTGGGATGGATGTGGAGTTGGGGGTTGGTAAAGCAGAAACCAACCCCAAAACAATTCCTGAGATGTCAGGAAATCTCCCAGCCAAACTTTTGGAAGTCAGATGGGAAAAATCCCAACAGGTTAATTTGAATAATTAATTATTGGGCCCATCCTAACGAGCATTGCTGGCTGGGATTTATCGTTTTCCTGGAGGATTTTCTGCCGTGATCCATTCCCCAAATCCTCCAAATCCAGGAGGAACTGGGGAATGTTCCTGTTTTCCTTGGGGAGGGATCCAGGAGAACCAGGGAAGGATCTGGGAAAGGATCCAGGAAGGGAGCCAAGGACACCAGGGAGAGATCCAGGAATTGCAAGGAGGGATCCGGGAGAATGGAGAGGGACCCAGGAACATTGGGGAGGGACCCAGGGACATCAAGAAAGGATCAGGGGCATCAGGGAGGGATCCAGGGATATCAGGAAAGGATCCAGGAGAACCAAGGAGAGATCCAGGAACATCAGAGAGGGACCCAGGAACATTGGGGAGGGATCCAGGGACATCAAGAAAGGATCAGGGGCATCAGGGAGGGATCCAGGGATATCAGGAAAGGATCCAGGAGAACCAAGGAGGGATCCAGGAACATCAGAGAGGGATCCAGGAATATTGGGAAGGGACCCAGGGATATCAGGAAAGGATCCAGGAGAACCAAGGAGGGATCCAGGAACATCAGAGAGGGATCCAGGAATATTGGGAAGGGACCCAGGGATATCAAGAAAGGATCCAGGGGCACCAGGGAGGGATCCAGGAATATCAGGAAAGGATCCAGGAACATTGGGAAGGGATCCAGGAGAATGAAGAGGATCCAGGAATAGAAGGTAGAGATCCAGGAACATCAGGGTGGGATGGAGGAGGGATCCAGGAGCACCAGGGAGGGATCCAGGGACATCAAGAAAGGATCCAGGAGAATCAGAAAGGATCCACCACTGTCCATTTGAGACACTCAGAGGTTCCAGTTCATTCCAAAGTCTTGGAAGCTTTCTGCATGGACAAAGGCTAAAAGCAGAGTTCTCCTGAGGGTCAGGCTCAGGACAGGCAGAGAAATATTTAGTTCATTAAAAAATAATTAATTTATTATTTATTTAATATATAATTATTAGGTATATTACATATTACATACTACATATTATATATTAGATAATTATTCATATATTTTATTATATTGCATGTAATTATATATAATTATACTATATAATATAGAAATAATTATACATTATATATAAAATATATAATTTTATATAATTTCATATAACGTGCATATTATATATGATATACTACATATTATATATAATACATTCATTATATATATATTATATATTATATATTATATATTATATATTATATATTATATATTATATATTATATATTATATTATATATCATATATCATATATCATATATCATATATTATATATTATTGTATACTATATAATATTATAATGATTTTCTTAATAATTAAATTATTATTTATTTTGTAATAAATGAATAAATAAATAGATTTATCATATAAATAATAAATAAAGCCTTGGGTTCCAGCAGGCTGAGAACGCCCCCATCTCTCCGCCTGTCCCGGGCCCCTCTCCGTGCGCGGACCCTTTAAACCGCGCAGCCCACCGCGGGCCAGAGGGGGGATTTCTCCTCCACGCCGCTGCAGTGCGCAGCTGGTGGGCCCGCCCCACCCCTCCGCCTCTCTGCGGATGGTACAGCCCACACGTGCGGCTGTGGGCAGGGGGCGGGGCCAACGCGGCGGGCGGGAGCGGAGTGCTCATGGCGGCCGCTCCGGGACCATCCCGGGAAAACCGGAACGTCCGGAACGCGGAGAATTCCCGGTGTACGGGAGATTCCCGGTGCGCGGAGAATTCCCTGTGCACGGAGAATTGCTGATGTGCTGTGGGAGGTGGCGCGGGGGCGGCGCTGAGGGTTTAACAGCACGGGCGGCCACGGCGCTGCCGGGACCTCGTGGCGCAACGGTAGCGCGTCTGACTCCAGATCAGAAGGCTGCGTGTTCGAATCAC